AGTTCCAGGACAGGCTCCAAAGCTACACAGAGAAACCCTGTCTGGGGGGGGAGGAGGGGAACTTGTGGTGGGCTGGTAGGGTCGCTCTAGTAAAGACACTTGTGGACAAACTTGATTGCGCTAGTTCAGTCCTTGGGCTCCACATAATAGAAGGAGAGAACTGATTATAGCAAGTTGTCCTCTGGGCCCCGGAGCTGTGGCACGGGTACCAGCCCTCTTCCCCCATAACACAAACAAAAAGGTGTAATAAAAAAATACGGCAAGGAGACCGTGTCAGGCGGTAACTGACCTTGGTTTCACGGCTCTGAGCAGAGGTATGAGTCCACTCATCGTTTTCTCTCCTGGCATTTCCTACAGTGGCTAAGTGCTGTTCAGTAAGAGTGAATGGGGAAATGCGGTTCTAAGGCACAAGAACCGTACAGGGGACCTTGCTGGCTTCGCACAGCAACGGCCTTGGGATCGGAATGGCTCACAGTGTCACGCAGTAGACAGCAGAGAAACAAGACGAGCTTCCAAACCCAAGAAGGCCAGCCTGTCACTTACCAGCTGTGCAACCTTGAGCAAATTACTTAACGTCTCTGAGCCTCCAGTTCTTTGTCTACAAAATGGGAGTCATATTATCTCCCTGCAGGCTTGTTGGAAACAGGAGGAGGCTAATAGATGGGTGTGTCCACAATGCCTGGCATGCAGAAGACCCTCAGCACGTGGTGGCCCTTCCCCAGCACCATCCGCTCTTCAGCATGAGTCAGCAGGGCCAGACGGCAGGACCTCTGAGGAATGAGTTAGGCTCCAAAAATAAAAATGGGCGTATTTTCTCTTTCACCAACAGAATGCTCTGAACAGGTGGCCATGTCACTGGGTTGTCATGAGTGCAAGGGTGTTATTTTAAGAGGCACCTTAACGAATCTTCAGGGTGCTTTTGGAAGACGGTGATCGGCGGCATCATCCGAAGTGCACAGGACCAGCCAAGCGTGTGGGGTGGCAGAGTGGTGACAATTTATGGGGAGACTATTCCAATGATTGACAAAATGAAAGACAACACTGCCTGTGTAAGGTCCAGTGGAGGAAGCTTAAGAGAAAGCATGTAGATTTTGACTCAGAATAAACAAGGGCATTTTGGCATCAGATGACCCTCGACGTGATGACTGTGTGAGGTGGAGCCTCCCTCCTCCAGCAACGGGGGTGAAGAGAAGAGCTGTGGAGGGTGATGAGTTACCTTAGACTAATGACCCCTAGAGCCTGGGACACCAAAGAATCGTGTAGGGTTGGGGTATGGACCAGCTCCAGCTGTATAAAGTGAGGATGGTGGCACACGCCTGTCACCCAACATGTGGGAGGCAGAGGCAGGAGGATCAGATGTTCAGTCACTTCAGCTGCATGAGGAGTTTGAAGCCACCCTGGGCTACATGAGACCCTTCCTAATAAAACAAAATAAGATAAAGTGGAATGCTTATGGCTGGGAGCGTTTCGGGAGCTGGGGAGGGGAAACGGAGTGGTTGGTTCAGTAAGTGTGGAGCGTCCCCTCCCTAAGATGACAAAGAGTTGATCAAATGCTTGCCTAGCAGGTTAAATGCTCTGAGTTCGAGTCTCAGCACCACACTCATCAGGCATGGTGTAGCATGCCTGTAATTCCAGTACTCTGGAGGAGAAGGCAGGAGGACCAGGAGTTCTAAGTCATTCTGGGCTATTTAGGAAGGCTGAGTTGAACAGGAGTTCTAGATCATTCTGGGCTACTTAGGGAGGTTGAGGCTAGCCTGGGCTATATGAGGCTGCTTTTAAAAAAAAAAGTGTGCTCGCTTTGGCAGCACATATAATAAAATTGGAACGATACAGAGAAGATTAGCATGGTCCCTGTGTGAGGATGACACACAAATTCATGAAGCATTCCATATTTAAAAAAAAAAAGAAAGTAAGGAAAGAAAAAGATCTGTGGAATTTCACAAGTTCTTGGCTCAACCTGTTGGTGTGCAGTCCCAGCTCCTGAGTTCACGCTCTTAACCACTACACCGTGCCCTCCCCGTCAACAGGAAACCTGGCACAGGGAGGCCCGCACTACTGACGGTGGCCATCTGGTCTGGTGATGCCTACACCAGTTCATGGGAGCCCAAGAAGGCACAGGTTGACCGTGTGAAGTGTCCTGGCAGAAGAATTTGTCCTATTCAGTAACAAGTGACCTTCAGCCCCGATTTCCTATCTGTGAAGTCTGACCCCAGCATGACCCTGACTCCCAGGAGCTCTCCTGTGACCCTTGTTCCCTCAGCCTTTAACATCGGCAGCTGTGTGTTGCCCCTAGAGGGCACAGAGTCCGGGAACACCCTGGCTCTGTCCTGGGTCAAACTCAGTGTCTCTCCCTTGGAGCCTGGCAGTGCCACCTGTTTGCTGTCCCTCTACCCAGCTGACAGCGAGCGTCTCCTCTTCAGAGACAGACAGTCAATATTTCAAGCTCAAAGTACCACACAGTCTCTCACAACTACTCAGTTCCGTCCCTGTCACCCAGAAGCAGCCTTGCGGAGCTAATGGACTTGGCTATGCCCCAACCAAACTTCATTTGCCAAAGCTGGTCAGGACCCAAGGCCACAGTCCGGCAATCTTTGCTCTAAGTAGGAGCCCTAGACATTGTAGATGCTTAAGAGGCATCTGTACCTGGCTTTTCTATCAGTCTGAGCACACTACTGACATTTGTCATCAGTCTAGTGACACATGCCCAGGAGGGGGATTGGAAAAGGAAGGGAGGGAGGGAGGGAGGAAGGGAGGGAGGGAGAGAGAGAGAGAGAAAGGCAGGAAGGCAGGAAGGCAGGAAGGCAGGAAGGCAGGAAAGAAGGAAGGAAGGAAGGAAGGAAGGAAGGAAGGAAGGA